TCGGGCGGGGTGGGTCGGGGAGTGGCGCGGTGGGGTGCGGCTGCTGCTGCTGTTGCCGCCCCGTCTGCTTCGCGCCGCGCCACGTCACGTCTGTCTTCAAAAATTGGTAAACGATTCCAATCGCCATTATGGAAGGCCGGAGCCCGCGCGCGCCCCTCGCCCCTCGCCCGCGCGCCTGTCAGCTGTCACACCCGGGAGAAAATATTTACCCCTTCCTGTTGCCCTCCCGTCCCGTCCCGTCTTGTCCGCCCCGCGGGCGGCGGCAGCAGCAGCAGCAGCAACCCCTCTCCCTGGGAGGGCGGCGGCGGCGCGGGGATTGGAGCGAGGCTGCAGCACAGCTGATAAGCATCGGGCGCGACGGGGCGAGCGCTGCTGGCTCAGAGCGATGGGCGGTTCTCTCTGATTGGAATAGGGATCGTGTGCGTGGTGCGCGCGCGCGGTGCGCCCGACTCCATCCCGCCTCGTCGAGCGTCGTGTGCGACGACGGCGTCCTCGCTCGCGCGTCTCTCGTAGATAATGACGCCGTCGCTTCCTTTTTCTAAGGCGTCTTCCTGCCTGCTCTCCTTTCTCGACGGACTTGTTTTCGTCGCGCGCGGTCGCCGCCTTGCTGCTGCGCCCCGAAAGCGCCCGCGCCGACCCTGGCCTCGATATTCTCAGTATTTCACCCCGCATCAAGCTCGGGGTGCCGCGCTGCCCGTCCGTCCTCGACGCCGTGTCCTCGACGCGCCGTCGTCCTCCCCGTTGTGGCGCCGCGCCCTTTGGCCCCTCCTTTACCTATTGTCGTCGCGACGCCACTCCGGTACTTCGCGCCGCCATAACGACGCCCCTGCTGCTACTGCTGCTGCACCGCGCGAGATGCGACCCCCTCCTGGCGCGCTTGGGGAGAGAGGCCGTCGCGGCGGGAGGACCGCGCGCGAGTAGCAGTGTGCTGCTGCTGCTCCTGCTAGTCGTCCGCGGTGCTTTTCCGGGTAATAAACGCGCCGCTAAAACCAACATTAACCCCGCAGACAACACAACATAAGGCGCGCGACAAACCGCGGCACAGCGCTGCAGTAGCAGCAGCAGCAGCAGCTCGCCTGGCTTGCCTTGCGCGCCGCGCCGAGCCACCTCTCTCCTCCTCTGCAGCCCATGAAAAAGTTTCGCATGTTCATCTTCGCGGACAGCAGACGGTCGGTCGGGCGGACGCACAAAACGGACGGAGAGACGGACAGCCGTGTGGTGGCGGACGCGTCGGGACGTCACGTCACCGACGGCCGCCTCTTTTTCCGCAAACGGAATCCGTCCGTCCGGCCGGGCGCCGCCGGGGCCGGGTGTGGCGGCCGATCAGATTGGCATGTTCCTGAGGCTGACGCGCGGCGCGCTGCCGCTGCACCCCCCCCCCCCCTCCCCCCGCACCTGCGCCACCCCCGCCTCATCCATCATCCACACAGCTATCTGTCTCTGGTATATCGGCGGCAGCCTCACGCCGACCGGGGTATCTGTCCGGCCGCCTTGCTCCTTTTATGCATTTGTGTTCCCTTTTGGGGGGGAGGGACAGCAAAGGTCGTGCCGTTCCGTCACGGACAGCAGCAGCGGGGCTGACAACACCGGCGTTACCGCAGTGAATGGACGCGCGCTCCGGTGCCTCGCTCTCTCGTCGTTCGTCGCGGTGCGGTGCTCTTGTATTTGCTCTAGTTCCGCCGTTGTGTTGTGTGTGTAGCAGCATGCCGAACGTCAGTGTGGTGGTGGGGGGGGGGAGGTTTTTTTCCCCCGCCCGACCCCATTCTTTTTTATTTGTCGAATCCTCAGCAGCGCGAGCGAGCGCGTGCAGCGACGTGGCCGCGGCTAGTGAGCGCCCGTCGCCCCCCACCCCCGCTCAGGTGACTCTCGCCCCGTCCCCCTCTTGCTCCTCTTGGGCGTGATTCTGTTTGCCGCAGCCCTCTCCCTCCCTGATCGCGACACGATCTCTGTTGGCGCGCGGAGCAACACCACCACCGCCTCCCCTACTCTCCCACCTCTACTTCCTGTCCCTCACCGCCACCTCCATGACCTCGGCCCCTAAAAAAAGGGGGTAAAAGAAAGAAAAGTTTTGGCTTTCCGCTCACCTTATTTTTCCGCCGGCCGCGCAGCGCCCGCGCAGCGCGTCATTTGTCTACGTCACTTGGGGGAAGGGGGGGGGGGCGGCGCCGGGGAATATTTCTGTAAACTGATAAGAGACTCCAAATGGTTTGATTCAGACAAAAAGGCGGCGGGCGGCGCCGAGGCCATCCGGCGCCGAGTCGCTCTCCTCGCGACCTTTCCGCGCGCGCCTTTGTCCTCCGCCCCGCCCGGGCCGTGGCCGAGGCCGAGGCCGCGGGGGCGGGCGGCGGGCGGGTGCACACCCTTTGAAAGTACCCTGCCCGCCCCGACTGCCGTGTGCAGGAACCGCGGAGGGAGGGAATGCGCGGGGAAAGTGGGGCACCATGAGGGGGTTAAATGTTGGCCAGCTTGGCACAGCACGAGTACCGAATATGATTCCTGTCAGAGGGCGGGGAATATAAATAAAGTTTGCCGGCGCCCATTTCTAGCGCGAGACACAACCCGATCCAGCCGTGTCGCGGGCGAAGATGTTTTGATGTGATAAGTCCCTCGCAGCAACGCGACGCGGCGGGGGCGGGCGGCGCGAGGCGACGAGACGCGCGGAGCGATGAAAACCGAGGAGAGCAGATCGTAATGATGCTTTGTTGTTCCAGGTCACGATGCGGGCCGCCGTCGGCGCCGACCCGACCCACGTCGCCGCCATGCCGCTGCTGCTGCCGCTGCTGCTGCCGCTGCTCCTCACAGGTAGGCAACCCTTTGCAGTGTGTCCCTCCCCCCTTTCCCCCTCCGAGCGGAGCGGGCCGTGATGGACGACCTCTGCCCTATCAGTGTTACCAGCCTCATCTCCCTGCTGCCGCCCGCCGCGCCACGCCGCGCCGCTCCACCTCGCCGTCGTACTCGTTCTCTTTCCCTTCCACGCGTCGTCTCTCGTCTCTCGCCTTTCGTCTCTCCCTCTGTCTCCCCCCACCGCGACTCTTTTCTTTGCTTTGCTCGCCTCTTTAGTGAAACCTAAGAAATATTCCGGTCCTGCTCGGCTAACGTTGCGGAAGTTTCTTCGGCGCTTGCCAAGACGACGCGCGGCGAGGGGGAAGAAGAGGCGGAGCGGAGGCTCTGCGCCGGGCCGCCGCCCGGGGGGAGTCCCCGAGTCCCGGGGCCCCGGAGGTCCTCGTGCCGGAGGGGGAGGGTGCGCTCGGAGAGGAAGGACCTCCCGGAGGCGCGCCTGCCGGAGCCAGCCCCTTGAGCTCTCCTCCCGGAGGGGGCCGGAGTCACGGAGTGTCGGTACGCGGATGTGGACATGTTTAGCCCCTCCTAACGACCCAGGCCCAGGGCGGCCAGGCCCCTTCCCTACCCCCAGCGCCTCGCCCAGCGCCCTCCCGCCCTTCACCCTATTACCCCCTTCAAATCCTCCTCTTTAGCTCCTTAGCTCCTGGCCGCCCGACGCCGTGGCGCGGCGTAGCGTAGCGAGGCCCTGGGAGGAGCGGCGGGGTTGGGGGGCGGGCAGTATGACTGATTGCCTGGCAGCCCGCCCCGGCGTGGCGAGGCGTGGCGGAGCGGGGCACCGGCCAACTGGCTATGCAGCTCCTGTGCCCGTCAGTCAGCCGCCGCGGTGAATACGCGCCTCCGCTAAAGTTTTCTGGGCTACAGGAAATAAGGGGCTGCCGCTTCTCTGTGCGGAACACGACCCGAGCCGCGTGTGCGCGGGCTGCTAGAGCAGCTCTACGAGCAGGGCTGGGCCGCGCGCCCGGCGGGGCGGGGGTAGGCCACCGGCACCGGAGACGAGCGCGCGGGTGGCCTACCTCCCCGGCTGCGACCTGCCACTGGGCAC